GGGAAAGAAAACAACCATACAACATTCAACCCCAGGCTTGGACTTTGGGTTTCTAGGATGGTACTGACATTTGTAGGACACTGCTGACTTAATTGTTGTTCTAATCCGTATCAATGGGGTGTATCAATGCTAATTTATTTAACTAGAGACTGATGCTTTGAGATAGAAAGTTCATAATCTTAAAGATTGCATTAGATCTCTTAGTGGATGGAACCTATTTTAGCTCCTCATCCTGTATTTTCTCACTTAAATGAAGATTATGACTTAACTGCTTGACTATATCTCTGAATACTGACAAAACTGTCAACCTCAATTAAAAAAGGAATTATCCAGCAATTTTTATCAATCAATTTGTATTTAAAATGCAGCATTTAAAGTAGTCTGGCTTAGCAAGTATTGATGCTTTGTTTCCTTTTCCATGCTGAAGACGTATGGGGAGAGGCCAACCAGACAAATGTGTGCTTCCCTAAGTAAATGGTCTAAAACTGACCCTAAAAGAGGACTTTTGTCTATTGTCCAAGAAAGCGTGAGGAACACTTTCAGCAAAGGAGGATAAAAGTGACCATGCCATGTTTAGTCGCCTGTCTCCTGATCTGTTTGTTTGCCTGCCACAGGGAAGCATCACCCAGCAAGTGAGATGCAGCATGTGATTGAGTCTGAGAAGGTAGCGGAAATCCCGGCTGTACATGAGTATGGCCATGACCATTCCAGGTTGCATGCCTACATTGGCGTATCCCTTGTCCTTGGCTTTGTCTTCATGCTGTTGGTGGATCAGATAGGCAGCTCTCATGTGCACTCGACAGATGGTAAGTAAAGATTCACTTCAATTAGACTTGCTAATTAGTTTTAATTAGCAAGTTGCATTTTTTTGAGTGCTACTAGGATTTAATTTGACCAGTCCTGTCGAGTTTCAGTAGATGTTTTACAATCATAAAGCAAGGTCTGTGTAAAATGTTTATGCTGAATTCCAGGATAGATTTCCAGCAGAATTTGAGAGCTTGCTTTGCTAACATGAAGTAACTGTACAAGCACATATGGTGTGGGGGTGGAGGGTGACTTGACGCTTGAGTTATTGTCTGTTTTACAGTAACACCCATAGGGGATTTCTTTCGCTTTCAAAAAAAATTCAGGTTAGTCTTATCTTCATTTGTTTTTTCTACTCAATTGTCGTATATGTAGGTAAAATTTGCAAAGAACAAAAAGTTATCTTAAGTAAGACTGCAGAAATGACTAGATGTAAGCTCTGATCCTTTACTGTAACTGCACAGCTGGACTCCCACACTAGTCTAGAGTGTCACTTACTTCAAAATACTTCCTGCTTAATCCAAAGGTTTCTCAGCTTCGTTACAAGACTCTCAAAATGCCTACAGTTGCCTTTGTTTCCTGCCTGTGGCGTCATGCTCAGACAGTAGCTTGGAATTCACCAAAGGTGTATTGTCATCTGAAAAGGGATTTTATTGCCTTTGGCTGCTGCTCATTTTCTCCCACATAGTCTCTTCTGATGGTGGAATTTGGCCCTCAAAAATTAGGAAATTGATCTTGAAGGAAAAGTCAAGCACACACACAAAGGAGGGGGTATATGTTCTGGTTGGATCGTTGGCAGTTCACAGTGCAGCTGCACAAATACTTGTATGGGGTTAGTGTGGTGGGACAGATGGGAGGCCAGTGCAGGGGTTGTGTCACCTTGTGCTCCTGGAGAAGTGTAAATGGAGCCACAGCCATGGCTAGGTGATTTTCAGAGCTTTTCCAAGGAAACAGTGGCAGTGAGGATGACAAGTGGATATGGGGGAACAACTACCAGGAGAATCCTTGGTTTGTACAGGTTATGACCCTTTCCTATGTCTCAGAGCAAATACCATGAGAAAATTGATTATGATCTGTGTTAGAGATATACACTATAAAATAGGATGCTAAGTAAAGTTTTTTCTAGTCTGTACTTCTGTCACAGGAAATGTAGTAGTCTTTTTGTGATGTTTTTTAAAGCTACTGAAGGAAAAACATTTTTCTCATTTGAACCAATGTCTGGTAGTTTTGTTATCTCCCAAGTGGCTAGATTTTACTTTACCTAAACTATACCTACATTCTGGCCTACAGAATGTTTCTGAAATCAAATGTGAATTCTCTCTTTGAGTGTGTTTAGTTTTGGTCAGTCCAAAACGAATTTAAAGGAAATGTTCTGTGTGAGTATCTTCTCTTATTTGACATGAGTATACACCATTGCAGTCATCCAAATGCAGCTTATGCAATTAATTGCTCAAATAGGCTCCCTTTTGATTCAAATCAATCTGACTAGAAAGAATACATCAGTTTTTATCCAGGTCACTTCCCTGATCTGACTCACTGGACAACTACGTGGATGCCTGGGCTCAGAGAGACTGGAGGGCGGGAGGACAGGCAGGAGGAAAGGAACAGGACTGGACTTTATGTTTTGGTGGCAATGCAGACTTACTAAAGTAGCTGTGTAAGTGTGCTTGCAGTCAGCTTCTGACCACTAGCGTAATTAAATAATGTCTGTTCAACTGTTTGGAATTCAGTATAGGTGTTTCTATACTTGTGTAGGACTTACCTGTCCTGTTCATTGCAGTGATTCTTTGTAACAGTTTCACCACTGGTTGTGTAGTGGTGGATAGTACCCTGTGTGCTGTATAATGAGCTAACCTGCAGATGTCTTCAGAGTATTGTCAAACAGCTGCAGTCAAAACACTGGATCTCAAGCAGCACTAGCTGTGTTTCTCCTTTGTAGTGTATGATGTTGGAGGGAAATCTTTGCCAGTGCTGCCATAACAAGTAGAATTTATTGCTTACTAGGAATTGCCAGAGAACCAGTGCAACAGAGACTGTCCCGGACTCTCACCTGAGGGAAAATGCCAACACTGGGCTATGTGGGGAAAAAATCTGACTCTTGGAGCAGCTCTGGATTCTGGGGATGCAAAACTAGCTTTTCTTCCCTTGGTAGCACAGAACTTTAACATTTGGTTTTAGGAGGTTAAGAAAAAATGACTACTTCTGCCTATGTCAATGATCCTGTAAATGGCAAAGAATTGCCTCTGATTCTGTCACTTGTTTGTTGGCAGAACTTCAAGTGATTTGATGGTGTTAATTATCAGACTATTTTACGGTAAATCTAATGCAGAAATACAAAAACTGATGGTTGTGAATATAACTGCCTAAGCAGCTGGTAGAGACATGTGCAGTGACACATTTTTTTTTTTCTTCCAGCATAATTTATGTATTTGTTCTCTTTCTCCTAACTTTCCTCATGACCATTTCAGATCCAGAAGCTGCAAGATCAGGCAACTCCAAAATCACCACAACGCTGGGCCTAGTAGTCCATGCTGCAGGTAATATGGGACCTATTGTTAGCACTTGATAAGGACTTCCTTTGCTGTGTGTCTCATCTTTAGATGTGATAGAAACCCTTCTGTTTAGTTTTTGAAGGTGGCTTTTTATTAAAAAAAAAAAAAAGTCAGGGAAAACTAAGGATCTTCCTGAAAACTTACTGGGAAAACCATACTCCATGTTCTATGGAGTTTTATTTGGCTACAGGATTTTCACTCCTTTATTTTTCCCATTTGAAGAGTTGCATGATGCTCACTCTTTGCCTCTTCAATTCCTTTGCTGGCTGCTTTAGCTTATGGATTTCAATACATGCTAACACATTTGATAAGTGGTATGGAACACCTTTGGATTTGCTTGTCAGTTGACCTGTGTTTTTTTCCACAAGATACTATTTTTAAAAAAAGGACATTATAGGGTAGAGTGCAAAGATTTGACTGAAACACATGTGGGCTGATTTGCAAGTACTGAAAAAGTTACGCATGTGTTGCAGTCAACCTATGTTCATGTTGTAATTCTTCACTATATATACTTAGTATAAATATGATGCTTTTTAATACCTCCTG